AGACTAAAGTCAGCCATACATGAATCAAAATGCAGCCGTTTCAGCCAGTGGTGTATTTTGGTTTCGTGCTGCCCTAAGCAAGACTAAAATCGGGCACCCCCCCCCCCCCCCCATCTAAATTTGCCCCACCCCTTCCTCTTTAAGATCAACCCCTTCATCTGTAAACTCCACCCCTTCCTATTCAGGCTCCACCTTTTCCTATTAGAGCTCCGCCCACTGACACCACCATGGCGATCGTTGGTGTCGCTAGGAATAGCGCCCCATCGTTGGTGTCAGCGGGGGAGGAATAGCGCCCCATCGTTGGTGTCAGCGGGGGGAGGAATAGCGCCCCATCGTTGGTGTCAGCGGGGGGAGGAATAGCGCCCCATCGTTGGTGTCAGCGGGGGGAGGAATAGCGCCCCATCGTTGGTGTCAGCGGGGGGAGGAATCGCCCCATCGTTGGTGTCAGAGGGGGGGAGGAATAGCGCCCCATCGTTGGTGTCAGCGGGGGGAGGGCGCCCCATCGTTGGTGTCAGGGGGGGGGGAGATAGTTTCCCATCATTGGTGTCAGTGAAAGGAATAGTGCCCTATCGTTGGTGTCATTGGGAGGAATAGTACCCCATCGTTGGTATTAGTGACACCAATGATGGGGCACTATTCCTCCCACTGACACCAATGATACTTACCTTGCTGAGCCCTGCTCCAGCCTGGGCTTGCTCCCTCTCCCATCCACAGCCAGCATACCTGTCTGCAGCAGCATCATCTGCAAGGCAAAGACACTTACCTGTCAGCTGTCTTCCTTCTCCCTCGATCTTCTTTGATCCTCACGCTGCCGCTCGGCTCCTCCTCTCCAAGCTCCGCCTCCTCGCCAGTGATTGGCCGCCTGTGCGCCTTTCCTGAGCTACAGTTCCGGAGGCCAGTCACCGGCGAGGAGGCGGAGCTTGCAGAGGGAGGGACAAGCTGCCATAGGCTGTTGAGTGATCCCGGGGGTGTGGACAGATGACAGGGGCGCATGTGATCCCACCCACACATTGCGATCCAGGGAACTGAAGACGCCGGACCTACTGACCTGACAACCTCTCTACCCCTCCTCCAGCAGCGCCTCGTGGACCAGATCGACGTGGGACTGGGACACGGAGTCGCGGACCCAGGTAAGGTACAGCAACCCGTCCTTGTACTAAGTGTCCCTTCCATGGAAAGGGGGGGGGGGGCGTCATTGTCGCCCCCCTAAAAAGTGCCGCCCTAGGCAAACGCCTTGTTTGCCTCGCGGCAAATACACCCCTGGTTTCAGCAGAGTCTGGTCGAATTTCGATCCATGTGTGGGCTAACTGGTTGTTCACAAATTGATCTAATGGTCCACTTGTGTACAACCAGCCTGTCAGGTTTTCTCAAATGATTGGTGCCACCAGCTATAGCAGGCAACACTGATCATTATATTCTGCCATTGAGGAAGGCTTCCTTGTGGCAGAATACAATAGCTCAGCGGGAAGGATGTGGAAATCGGCTCATATTTGTTCGTTCAACCCGCTGGTTGAACAAAAATAAATAAATAAATAATATATGGACTGCTTTAGAGTCTTAGACAGTCAGAAAATACCATGTGCAAGTCAACAGCTTCGAATCATAAGAATTTATTTTAAAGGTCAATTGGGAATACAAGGTATAGGAAGTTATTGCATTGCTGTAAATGTTGAATATCATTTGTGGTTATTCTCTTTAATGTGTCTGTGTAATGAAATTTTGTACAACAAAATGAAAATGGTAAGAAATTCTCCATTCTATTGATATACATCGCTTGCTAATATAAAGCAACCTAGGGCTATACAAGAGAAATGGACACCAGACACACAGAAACTGAAGGTCAGCCCCCTTTGAAGATCCACTGAGAAATAGTGGATCTAGAAACCAGAAAACCACTTTTTGGCTGTTTTTGAATGACAAACAGGGAATTGGTTGAAAGGTACACCCCGACAGTGCTCACCACATCCAGTCAAGGGAAAGAGCTCACTTGGAGTAACCTGGAGTCTGACAGGTTCAAAAAGAGTAACACTGACAATACTAGGTTTAAATCCCACGGTTGGAGAGGAGATCTAGTAAGAGGAACAACAAGTGTAACTCCTTGTATAGAAGTATGAATTGCCAAATGATCAGGGAGACGACAATGAAAAAGAATTGACAGTGTAGACACTTGACTATTAATGGTACTAAGGGCTAAAGCCTTTGGATGTGACATCAGCAAGCTACTGGTTCACTTGCACCGCGCATCTGCAAGCTTAGCTGGGCTTGTTTGAACTATTTTGAATACACGCTGTCTATACTGGTGTAAGTCTGGACACCATGTTTGTGAGTTTTTTTATTAAAGAAACAATGCTTTTACTATATACTGCACCATGAGTTTGTCCTTTTCCCTTCTGAGTGGCGGTCTGAGCATCTTCTATTGAGGATATTCAGTATCTTTGAGGTGGATCTTCAGTTCTGCAGATTATTACTCCTTGGAGCTCATCCTGCAATATTCCTATTGTTGCTGTCATCTACTAATCTTCGCTCCCAGAGCAAAAAGCGCTTTATGCTGGTTTATCATATATCAGCATATTGCTCTGGTGAATTTTATTTAACCGATTTTGGTGGTGGATTCACTTGGTGATAATATATTTTTTGGACACCATTGATTATTTGAACTTTATATTTTTGGACTTTATTTTTGTTGCATTTTATATTTTCCATTTTCTGTTTTTCTCAATGATTATTATTGGTTTGATGCTTAATTGTATACACTTTAGCGCAACCTGTTTTTTATATACTAAGAGCTAAATGTAGCCCTCTCCCCAACTAAAAGAAAGAAAAAATAAGACCAATTAAAAAGTTTTTTGTGAAATTACAGAAACTCACACCAGTGAAAATAAGGCTTCCAAGTTCAATAATAAACCTTTCAGGAAGTAGATATACAAATTTTAATGGTTGGGATTACTAAATCTGCAAAGCCCATGCTTCTCAGAACCTAGGTTTAAACAGCCCAGCTTTAAAAGCCAATGAACAAGAAGCAGGGTGAAATATTGGTCATTGAGATAACCGATCTATCTTATCTAGTAGAAGCCACAGAGTCAGCTAACAGATGGTTATCTTACCATGTTCTCTGAGAAGAATTACAGGAATGCTCTTGACCCAATCTTGCAAAGTAGAGGAGGTAAAATCTTCAGCAAAGGAAATGCATCAATAAAGGAATACGAATCCTAAGGATCAGGGCACTAATTGCATCTATTGTTGGATCCTGCATTCTGGAAACAAACCTGTCTAGCTTCCTGTTGAACTAAGATGCTAGCAAGTCTAAATCCAGCATACCCAACACAGACCTTGAAAACACCTCTGGATGGGGACATTCCTCGGGGTCAAGGTTGAGATTAGACTCTACCTACACCACCACTGCAACACTCCTGGTGTTCCCCGGATGACTGATGTAGGCCACAGCTTTGACAATTATACAATGAGGAGCAGATGACAGATCAGAAAGGAGGTCTGGTGAAATAAAGGCTAATTACTAGGAACTCAAGAATGGTGATCAGAATTGTTGGTTCTTCCTGAAATCAATGCCCCTGAACAGACAGAGGGCCTAGAATTCCAACCCAACACAGAAGTCTGGTATTCATCATGACCATAATTACACTCCATTGTAAGAGAATTAAAAAAAAAAAAAAAAAAAAAAAAAAAAAAACAGCCCTGCCCTCAGACAAAGCTGTGGAGAAACTACATCATGACAAATACATGTTGGATCAAGGAAGTAACCAAGGCAGCTTCTTCCAGGGACACCTGAATTTGTCCCATGTCACATGAACATTTATTTTGTTCTGAATTGGAATTAAGCAAACAATCACTTTAAAAAGGTGGATTCTATCAATCCCAGCACTTGTATGCAACTCCATGCGGAAGACCAATATTGGGAATGATTTTGCCAAACCTGATTTTGCCTAAATCAATTTTGCCAAATCACAGGGCAGGAGGACCTTTGTCTGAAGGGTATCCAGAAGAAGGCCTAATCATTCAAGTTATGCAATGGGATCAAAGATTACTTTATGATGTTCAGGATACATCTGAAGTGCTCCAAGGTCCGCAGTGTGATTGACATATTGGAGTCTAAGGCCAGGGAAGTCTTTAGTGCAGATTTCCCAAGTATCCTATGACTGGAATATCGTTGAGACGAAGGAGGCTCAGAGAAGGGCTAAGGCAAGGCCAAAGGGAAAGGCAACAGACTGATAGTGGTTGTCACCCACAAAAAAAAACAAAACAATTGCTGATGCCCTGAAAGATAGGAATATGTAAATACTCATCCCTAGATTCTATCTGAAATGTCTGAGGCTGAATGAAGGTGTTAAGTCCAAGATAGCACAAATGCCACATCTGGGCTTCTGAACTTTGAACTTTCTGAAACTTCGATTGAGATCAGAAACAATGACCTCCTGAGTCAAGAGCCCCCCAAATTACTGAAAAAGGTCCATCCAAAATTGTTGAGACAAGGGAAAGCACAAAACAAAGAATCAAGGTGAAGGACAGAGGTGAACACTATTTTGTAACCTTTAATGCAAAGGTGTCAACATGCATCATTGATCATTAGCTTTGTATGCTTAGGGTAATTGAGAACTCCTGCCCCTACCTGCCCGGTATTAAATTTAAAGTGGCAGTTCAGACATAAATATTGCACAGCCACTTGTGTTTACTCCTCTTCTGTATGGCCTGAGTGAAACAGGGGAGTGTTACCTTTTACAAAATAAACCCAGTTTGCACAAAACACCTGCTACATGGGAAAATGACATACAGTAAAATAAAATAAGCTACACAACATGGAAAAAGATGCAGCTAGCAGCACAATATCACAATTATGAGCAGTTATATCTTGCTCTCCCGCAGTCTGGTAGCTTACTCAGACTGCAGTCAGTAATGGAATAGCTCCTATCTGCAACCAATAGTGAAATAGACTCAGATGTTCACTCAAAACTAACATGGACGAGGAAACAATAGTTCAAGCATACCACTTTTAATGAGGTTGTTGGCATCTGGATCTTCTAGATGAACATCAGAAAAGGAGGCCTCCATGGACTGCAGCCTTTTTTGTTCCTCTTTGAGACTTTGTGCAATTTGCTGCAAAGAGAAAAATAAAAAAAAAAAAAAAAAGTTACACTATAGATCAACAAAATCATTATCTGTGTTGACATGTCCTACTGAGGTTTATACTGCACCCTCCTCATTGTGCTAGTGTGTCCAATTCTCAAAAACACAATATCAACCAATATGTGCCGGGAAAAAAAAAATCTGGATTAAAGATAGAAGTCTGGTGTTAGAACTCTGGTGCCAGCACTGCAAGGGTTAACTGTCTAGGCAACTGCGAAAAACAGTTTTACTTACCAGATCCTCTGCATTTGCAGACTCCTCGATGCAGAAAGGCTGGTCCATGCAGCCTATTTCCCCCTGTGCTCTGCTGGTCTTGTGCCCTGATGTCATCAAGACCATGCAGGGACCGTAGCACTGCACTAAACGAGAGGACACAGAAGAGCAGTCCACTGCCAGAGTGCAGGGAAGTGCTGTATGTTGAAGTAGGAGAGGATCAGTTAAAAGTAAAAATGCTTTTACCATTCTCTAGTCGAAATGAGCATAAGTCCTTTGCAAGGTGGGTGCAGCCTCATTGCAAGAGGACTTTTCTCACAGTTTGGCTTTAAAGATACATTACAGTGAGAATTAAAGGGGAGGATCCACCCATCCATATCGAGTGTGGATGGGGAAATTGAGTCACTAGTTAAACGGAACTAAAAAAAAAAAAAAAATTTGGAAATGAAACCATTCATCATGACTCCGTGTTACGACGTGGTATCAAATATTTTTGAGCCTAGTTTTGTAACACACCAACAGATGGCAGCACAAGGCTGCACGTACAATCACAGGGAGCACCAACCTTCATAAAGTCAGTGTGCCAAAAGACATCGGCCTGTGTACTTCAGGACCATCGCCGTAAACTTGCTGAATCATGTCAAGTGTCTCTGTGGTAGATTTGCCCATTTTCACGCAGAATTTCACGTTTGCGCTTTGTTCCAACTTGCTGTCCATGATGAAATGGCAAATGTGGTAATGCGCATGGTCAGAATAGCACCAGTTGCACAGCTCCTGATGTACACAGGACAATGTCATTTGGCACACTGACTGGCTCCCTGTGACTGTGCGTGAAGCCTTGTGTTGCCATCTCTTGGTGTGTTACAAAACTAGTCTTGAAACTTTTTGATACCACCTTGTATAGTGGGGGAAAGTAGACTTTTACAAGGAGCTGAAATTTGCATACAAATCCAGCTGTGCATATATATCTGGCATCTAATGTTTATACTGAAAAGGATTTAAAAAGGCAACATCTGTTTATCTAATTCTTAATAAAAATGTTCAGTTTGGACTTCTAGGTTTTCTGGATAGTCAACTGGTGATAGCATGCTACAGCACAAAAATTAATTTGCATAGTCATCATTTCAGTATACATTTTGAAAACCATACAGGTCATTTTTGTCCTCTTTACGCCAAAAAAGAAAAAGTGGTATTCAAACAGGTATCAGTTTATACAGGCACACACTCAATCACTCTTTTTCTGGCTATTTTTTCCCACAGTAAATACATTCTTTACAGTAAAGCCTGTCTAAAAGTTACAGAACCAGTGTTAAACTGCTGTTTTTTCAGTTATGTAAGACATACCTCCATCATCTCCAGCTTGTCAGGATAGGCAAGGTCTCCTGGAGCTGGCTTATAACCCAAGATATCTGTCTGGATGTATATGTGTGTTCTATAAACAAGTCTTTCCTGTACATCCTCCAACATCTGCTTCACCACAGCCGCAAAGGCACCTAGTTGATAAACTGATCAAATTAAACACATAGGTCAATGGAAAAATAAAAAATTCTTTGGGACATTTTCATGACGTGAAAACTACAAAAAAGATAAAAACAGAAGCAAGTCAACTGCAGTAAGCATTTCTGTTGCTTTGACCCATGTTAGAGTTGCTTTGACCTGCATTTGACATGCGTCTGGAGGTAACTGTGATTAACATACAAGTGGTCTAAGGCTACTATTGAGTTGCTTTAAAACTACTTCTGAGATGCTTAAGTTGCTTTTGTGTTCAGATGACCTACATAAAAAGGCAGGCAATTCAGAATCAGACAAACAGCCATATATACAGGCCTTAAATATACAGACGTTTACAGCATGGCTTCTCAAGAATCCAATTCACCAGGTTCTCTTGAAAAGTAGACTAATATATTTCTACTACAGAAAAAACCTCTGGCAAAATATCAAAAAAGTTAAATTATTTTACTACGCGTTAATTATAAATCCTCATATTTGGCAATCAACAACTCTATACTGGATGAGGGTGTGTGTTTTTAATTCTCCATACTTCTGATGAAGCTATGTAGTTGGAGCAAAATATGTTGAGCTCTTACTTTATTTTGGGTCATTTTGGGAGCACTTTTTGAATGCACATGGTACTTACTCCCCCTTTTTTGGAGTGGTCTGCATTGCACATTTTAGTGCATTATCTGCATTCCTCAAGATCGTGAGGTATTTTTGACTTGATATGGTGATATATGGGGCTTGTCCATTAGAGGCTTGTATTGAGGCCCGTGGATGAGTGTATCCATAGTACATATCTGTGGCACGATAGATCATATTACTTACTTAGTCCTTTCCTGGGGGAACTTCATTTCTTCAGTGGCGAGTGTATATATTCTACCTGATAAGCATATGATCAAACTACAATTGTTTTGCCATAACTTCTTCCAAAAATGGTATGCATCTAACTCAGCTTGGTGCTGGTAACCATTTGGATAAAAGGGATGGATCTACTGACTAATAATTGTAATTTAATTCAGTTATGAGATTGTAACGCAGTGCATTCCAGTCTATAAGGTCTTGAATTAAATGCAGTTTAGTATATAAATGTTTTATATAAATCCTAATAAAGGTTACATTTTATATTTATTAACTGGCTAATTGGTGCATAGGGACACGCACCCTGGTCCAGTAAAAAATATAAAAAAAGCAACAAAACATCAGCCTCATTCACACCAACAGTGTCAAACCTGTGTTTACATGCATTTGGTGGACATAAATACATGTAATTATGTTTCAATGGTGAAATTCACACTGAGCATTTACGTGCAGAGAAAAGTTGTTTATACTTCCCAAATAACTTATCCTGTGCTTAGAATGTGTGAATGAAGCCCAACACATACAGCTTAGGACTGATGAGATCCGATGGCTAGCAGCATTGCAGAATTATGTAATACATATATTACTGAGATAAATGTGCCACAGAAGAAGTAAAATAAAAACAAACAAAATAATAAAAAAAGATTACCATTGTTTTGAACATGATCTTCAAGCATTTCAATCTTCAGTATGCCACAAAGTTCTGACAATGTTTCTAAATGAACTATGTGAATGATCAACGGTCGCAAAACATCATATAGAGACAGGCACAGTTTCTCCAAAAGTTCACTATGATAAAAAACAAAAACAAAAAACAATTTACCAAAAACAAACAAAATTCCTAGAGGATGCTCACAAAAGGTCAAACAAGTCTCAGAACATAGGTTTGTTCCATCGACTATAACTGTGATTAGTGAACTATGGAAGGTAATAAATACCTGTGTTAAACTGTTATAGGCCATGCAGGCACTATGACTTAATAGACATCAATGGGACTGCCTGACAGGGATGCACCAAACTCCTGTGCATCTCTGTGCAGGTAAACATGGCCCTGCATGGGCATACAGTATTGTATGCTCAGTGTGAACAAGGCCTTATAATTAGCATTCAAAAACTAAAACAAATGTGTTATAAAATTTTATGATAGAGCCTGAACATTCATTTTTAAATAATTGGAGTTTTTTCTCTGAAGTTTCTAATGCCCCTGTACACAGCTTTTTTTTTACTTTTTCTCAGTCCGACTGTTCAGCTATAGCCAGGGCACCTGAAGTCTGGCAAATACTTGCCCTCAAACATTGTTTTACAGCTGAACTGGGCTCTTTGGATTGTCTTTTCAGGCTCATCTGAACACCAATTCACAATTGCTGACAGGATTTGACAACTCAGCAACAGCTGCTTTTCTGACCCGGAAAGTTCACACAGGAGACACAATGTTTGCTTGATTACAGCAGCTCTGATTTTCCTTCTCTCCCATTTTTGGATGTTTTTTTTTCCTGGGATTAGGTACCTATTTCTAGTTGGTACCCACTCCCACTTCTGCTCGGCTCGTCTATGAGAGCCAAGTAGTTTTGCCCCCTGCAAACTGCTGGGACACATCACATCCCAGGAGGCTGCGGGTCCATTCAGAAGTGCAAAGGGGAACAAGCTGTGAAGCTGCAGGAAGTCACAACCGGCTTCCCACAAGCAAGATGGTGGTGCCTGGAACCAGAACCTGGAACAGTCCTGGGCGATTAAATATTATTAAAGGTCAGCAGAAAGAATTTTTTGGCCGGAGCTGTTCTTTATCAACTGTGCTACAAGCTTGTCACATACACAGTTGAATTTCTCCTAAAAATATAAGAATGGAAGTGGATTTTGAGGACAGAAATTGCTTGAAAGGAATAGAAACAAAAGTTTGCAAACTTAATTTGAATTTTCATTTGCAATAACTTTGAACTTACAAAGAACAATCTATAACTATAAAAGGGTAACTTGACACAACTAAAGCAAACAAAAGAATAAAAGGCAAACTAAAATAAAGCTGGCAAGCTGCACAACTCAAGGTCATCCTTAAGTCACAAAACATTTTATACTAGGAAATCTCTAGAAAAAAACAAAAAACTAAAGTGCCAAAAAAGGCTGCTAAAAAAAAAAAAAAAAAAAAAAAAGGACGGAGTCAGTGTGTTTATCTATGTGGGTCATACGCCACTACTTTCAACTGCATAAAAGCTTTGCTGGGACTTGTGTCCTGTAACATTCTCTAAGATATGGAATTTACGTGTAAAATTAAAATTCCTATTATCTTAATCTTACAGTACAGGTCACAAAATCTGTAGTCATAAACCATGGGATGTCCCCAAGCAATTAGTTGAGGGGTGGGGAACAATATAGCAAACAGGCCCACAAGAAGACATTGGTCAACGGGTCCTAAACAATCAAATGACAGCATAAAGCACCTTGCAGCCAAAGCTCACATCTGCAGAGGCCTGGAAGTCTAACCAATAAAACTTTGAGAAGATATGAACAAATACTAGGTGGCAGCTTTGCCTGTGAAATGGATGCTTGATGCTGAACGGCCCCAGAAACACCAAACATCTAGTGCAGTGGACCCTGATAGAAAGAGGTAGATTAACATGAGTCACATCTTATATAAAGGGTCTTTATAAGAGTGTGTGAAGCTAAACATCTTTTGTACAGAATAGATAGTATTCTATAGAGACAGGTTTCTGCTCCAAGAGCCAGATGCTGGTCTAGACCAGACTGGAAGAAGGCCAGGTTGAGGGGAATAGATTATTCTCGAATGTTCAGGTGCCTACTTTGGCACCAGCCTTCCAAGTGTGATGGTTGATCATACAAGAAGTATATGCACTTGCTTTGAGCAAGGTGGGAATGACATAATCAGTAATGCACTCTATCCTTTATGACATGGGTTTCAATAATCATGCCATTAAAGCCAGAGATTGAGAAGCAGGGTAGAACAAAAAAGGGCCTTGTGACAGGAGGCCTTGCCTGTTTGGAAGAGGCCAAGGCTCATCAGCCAAGAGTCTGAATATGTCTGTACCAAGTTCAGTTTGGGGTAATAAGGATCACTAGAATCAATTCCCCCTGTATCTTGCAGAGCATTCGAGAGAGAAGTTTCACTGGAGGGAATGCACACACCAGACTGAACAGAGTCCAAGGAATCAGTAAGGCATTAACTGCAAAGGTCAGTGGATCCATAGATTTGGTCACTAAGCTGGAAGGTCTTTTGCTGAATATGGAGGCCATGATGCCCACATCCCATTTCTGACAGAGCATCAGGCTTGCCTCCTTCAGAGCGTCTTGACTTTTGGTTCTCACTTGTTGGTTTATATAGGCCACTGTCACAGCATAGTCGGACCCTACCCTTTTTCTGGGTGACTATGTAGGAGAGGGGTCCAGTGTGGGAAAGTCAGTCTCATAGCTCCCAGTTCCCCAATATTTATGGGGTGCGTCAACTACTGTGGGTACCAGGTTCCCTGGTAAGTGAGGGAATTGGAGATAAAGTAGACCCAGTAGGACAGGCTGCTGTCCACCATTACAACCTCCCAGGGAGAGAGGAGGAAGGATTTCCTGGACTCTAGGGCTGAGTTGGAAATCCACAGTGCTAGGGAGATTTTCGCCTAGTTGGATAGAAGTGGTGAACAATCTAGAGAACAGATCTGTTTGTTCCACATTGTGAGAAGTCTGAGCTGCAGAGGTCTGGAGAAGAACCAAATAAAGGAAAATGCATCTAAGGAGGACACCATGAGGCTTAGAACTCTAGTCGCAATGGCCAATAGGAAAATGGGACCAACAAAAGCAAAGGATGCCTTCAATAGGAATCCAAAGTGCCTGACAACTGAAAGAAGGCATATCATTATAAAACGTTTATTTTACAGTTCTCTCCTCTATGAGACAAAGTACTTGTTTCTAAAGGCTTTCTAACCCTAGTTTTGAGGTCTGACCTGCACCTCCCCTTCTGTCACAGTCAATAAAAAATTAGATATGCTACAAGTGAATATATACAACCAACAATTTCTTATATAATATACACAAATTTACCACATACTCCAATTTTGGTGTTGGTTTGGTGAAAAACTCATTAAAAAGTTGGTGTTCATCCTGACACACATGGACCATGAATGCACAGCCACTCCGCACCTGGAACATATAGAATGCAGCTGTTAAGGACATCTAGGAGCATGTAATTATTATTATACAGGGTTTATATACACCAACAGTTTGTGCAGCGCTTTACAATATAAAGGGGGACAGCACAATTACAATACAGTTCAATAATAATACAGTTCAATGAGAATCTAACAAAACCATGCACAGGCAGTAGGTAAAGCAAGCAAGAAAAGTCACATTAGCAGATCAGGTGCCTGATTAGGGCTAGCTGTAAACCAGCAGCAGTCAGAAAGCAGTCAAACACATTATATGCTTACCAATGCACAGTGATCCCTGTTGTTCTGGCTGGTGAGATCTGTGATTGTTCTGGTGATACTTGGACTAAGCAGATTCTCTCGCTGATCTAGGTAGCACTGATGTATTTCAGCAAGAAGCATCTGGTATCTTTCACACATTTTAAAAGAATAAAAAAGGATATTCAGTAAAGAAAAGCAAAAATGATTCACTGAAACACATTGACAAAGTGGTTATAGATCTCATTTAACCTATACAGTTTTATTCTATAATACTTTACAAAATAAAAGGGAGACAATACAGCAACAATACAGTTCAATACAAGAGGGTAAATAAGGGTCCTGCTCCTTGGAGCTTACAATCTAAGAGGAAGGGATTGGTGGTACAAAAAGGTAATAACTGTGGAGGATGGACTGGTAGAAGGAATAGAAGATTCCGTTATTAGCTGAAGGCAGGATAGGCTTCCCTGAAGAGATAGGTTTTCAGAGATCGTCTAAAAGTGGGCAGAGTAGGCGATAGTCTGATAGATTGAGGTAGAGAGTTCCAGAGGATGGGGGAGGCTCTGCAGAAGTCCTGTAGACGAGCATGGGAGGCGGAGACAAGGGAGCTAGAAAGCAGAAGGTTGTGGGAGGAGCAGAGAGGACGGTTTGGGTGATATTTGGAGACAAGATTGGGGATGTAATTTGGGGCAGAGTTATAAATGGATTTGTATGTGATTGTTAATGTTTTGAATTTTATTCGTTGGGAAAAGGGAAGCCAGTGGAGGAATTGGCAGAGAGGGATGGCAGATATGGAACGGTCAGTAAGGTAGATGAGTCTGGCATTCATGATAAGACTGAAGAGGGGATAGCCTGCGATTAGATAGGCCAATGAGGAGGGAGTTACAATAGTCAAGGCGAGATATAACAAGGAAGTGAATAAGTTGCTTAGTGCTCTCCGTGGTTAGGAACGGGCGTATCTTGGAGATGTTGCGGAGAGTGAAGTCTACAAGATTTGGACAGTGATGGGATTTGGGGCTGAAAGGACAGATGGAAGTCTAGAATTACAGCTAGTACCCTGGCATGAGGGGAGGGACTGATGGTTGTATTGTTGATCTTGATGGAGAAGTCAGGAGAGGGGGCACGGGCTGGAGGGAATTTCATTGATTTGAACATCATAAAAGAGGAGTCAGAGCTGTGCTGATGGAAATGGATTCATAGGGGAATGGCATGCGATTGCTACCGAAACTCGGTAACCTGCATTGCGAGACATGGCTGCAGATCACTAAGGGCTGGATTTAAAAAAAAAAAAAAAAAAAAAGTAAAAGTGAGATAAGTAAATGTTATTTTTCATTTCTTTCAATTGTCTATATATGTGTTATTGTCACTAGCACTATGTCAGGAGACTTAAAGTGTTACTAAACCCACAACATTAAAATCAGTCTGTATATGCAATAAAGCATGCTTGTGGAACCTAAGGAGTTATTCCTCTGCATTGTGTAAAAAGACCGTTTGATTCTTTCTTCTCTGTTCCTTCCCTTTTTCGAGTGACCAACTCTCATCTCCTGATAAGACAGACTGAACCGTAGGCATTTGCATATGCTCAGTTTGGTGTGTATTGCTAGAGAGGATTTATTTTTTTTCTTGGGAGAGTGCAAGTGATCAGCACAGGGCCAATCAACACTTCCCAGAGAGAGGTCAAGGGTTTTGCATCCTCCTAGAGCAGAAAGAAAACTCCTTCTACAAGCTTTAATCAGTGCTGGGCTGGACACTAATAGCAGCCACAAGACCGCTCGAACAGCTGATGAGAAAAGGTATTTAGCAGTTTATATTTACTAAAATAATTGCATTTCCATGTTGTGTGTACTGTGGCAGACCAGATATAGTAGATGCAGGGTCCTGGGTTTAGTAACACTTTAAATTAAATGTGTGTGAAATGTTTAATACATTTCATAGTGGTGTAGTCAGCTTAGTCAGATTTCCAGAAATGGAGATACATTACACATAATTGACCTAGCTAGCCTATTGAATCATGTCGTTTACCAACAATAGCAAAAGGAAGCTAAAAAAAAAAAAAAAAAAAAAAAAAAAAAAAAAAAGAAAAAGTTTTCTTCCAAAGCATTACTGGACAAGAAATGAGCTGTGTGTTGGAAAATTTCCTTTCCCTTTACATGGCTTCTGTACTGACACACTAAGGAAACAGCTGACAGCTCGAGAGGAGAGGAGAGGAGAGCCGGTAATCGGCTTTCCGCAGAGGGGACATGTACACTGATCATCAGGGCACTGATGATCAGTGTGCCCTGATGATCAGAGTGGCCCCAGAAGTGCCACCTGTCAGTGTCCATCAGTGCCAGCAGTCAGTGCTCATCAGTGCCACATATCAGTGCATACCAGTGCACATCAATGCCACATAGTGCCGCCTAAAAGTGCCAATCAGTGCCGCCTATCAGTGTCATGTATCAGTGCTGCCTTTCAGTGCCCATCAGTGATGCCTGCCAATGCCCATCAGTGCAATCTACCAGTGCCTCCTCATCAGTGCCACCTATCAGTGGCCATCTGTGCAGCCTATCAGTGCCCATCACTGCAGCCTCATTAGCGCACATCAGTGAAGGAGAAAAATCACTTATTTACAAAATTGTATAACAAAAACTAAGAAAAAACTATTTTTTTCACATTTTTCAGTGGTTTTTGGTTTGTTTAAGAAAAAATAAAAGTCCCAGAGGTGATTAAATACCACCAAAAGAAAGCTCTGTCTCAAAAAAATGATAAAAATTTCATATTGGTACAGTGTTGCATGACTGCGCAATTGTCATTCAAAGTGTGACAGTGCTGAAAGCTGGAAATTGGCCTGGGCAGGAAGAGGGTATAAGTGCCCTGTAGGCTAGTGGTTAAAATGTTCTTAAGCACATTTCACAATGTTGCCACTTCATGAAGCATCTGTATTCTATGTGCAAAAACTACAGCTACCTATCATTTCATGCTAGGGAACAACTAAGCTAAAGGTCAAACGTCACGAAAGTTGTGAGTAATACACTTCGATTAAATAAAGATATTACGCACTTGCCCTCCAGAGGATTTACTCCCCTTCCTGACCAGGTCATTTTTTGCAATATGGCGCTGCGTTACTTTAACTGACAATTGCACTGCAATGCTTTCGACTTTTTGCTATAAAACATATCCAGTAACATTTTTTTTTTTTTTTTTTTTTAAATCAGATTTCGGCATAAATTTAAGCCAAAATGTATTCTGCTACATGTCTTTGCTAAAAAAAAATCCCAATACATGTAAATTAATTGGTTTACATGAAAGGTATAGCATATGCAAATGGCGGTATGTATACTAGAATTGGCGCTGATCAGCGACGTATAGTGGGACTGCAGCAGGCATTCTGACACTGGGGGAAACTAACTGCCACTGACATCCCAAGGACACCAATACAGTGATCAGTACCAAATAGCACTGACACTGTAGTAAATGACACTGGGCAACAAGGGGGTAACATCTGGGGCGATCAAAGGGTTAACAGTGTGCTGTGTGTTTTACTATGTAGACAAGCTGCTTTGTATTGCTCTGCACAGCTGTTCGTGATGACAGGGAAGAGATCAGTATTGTTTACACACAGACCTCTCCCCTTTCACTGTTCCTCAGCGGGAAATCTCTGGCCGGGACCCGGTGATCAACAGCTGTAGCTGCCAATGGCGGCGCAGGTAGGGCGGCATGCACGCCCCATACCCAGAAATGCAAAATCACATGTATGTATGTATGTATGTATGTATGATGTGATGTGATTTTGTGCAATAGTTCTGGGATAGGGCGGCGGGGGAAAGCAGTAAATGAAAATATGGGGATAAAAAGAGCCCAGCATTCTAACAGCAATGTAGCACATAATGTACAGTTCACACTTCTGTAACAACTAGAGCAAACTGTTTGGGTAACACTTCTTTCTTTTAACCAAAATACTCACTCTGGTATAGTCTCAGATCGCTGCTCCATCTGTTCAATCAGCGTCTGCAGAAACACAAATAATTACATGTAATACAATTTTTACTATGGCGTGACTAATTAACAGCCTGAAGCATGCAATTGAAATTTGTGTTAATTTAATTTTTATTGCCATCGAGCTTCTCAATATAAAAAGGAAAACAATGTTTCACTATCACAGTTTAAAAAAATTAAAAGGATCAGTCTACTTCATCATTCAACGCTATCGGCAGCAGACCTGCAATGTTCATGAAGAGGTCAGCAGTTAAATATGATGCAATGCAAATGGCTAGTATGTGTTTCTATATGCAATCCCAGAGTTGTTGAGCAATTTTCAGTTTATCATTTGATGGACAACACAAGTTGCTGTAGGATGCATATCAAAAGGAGGTACTTTATCAGGAGATAAAGTGAAGAAGGGACATGCAAGGGAACCTGGCAATCTAGTGTTAGCTACCAGGTGTCATCACTAACAGAAGTATGTTCATTTAAAGGGCAACTCCACTTTCCTGGGAAAAAGAATTTGCAAATAAAAAGAAAATAATAATACAGTGTATACAACTGCGACAAGTCATATTGTAATTGAATGTTATTAAAAATTCCCTTTTCAATCTGCAGCACTTTAAAGTTCTGTAAAATGCAATACAATATGGATACCTGGAGGTTTTCTGTACACAGAACCCCCCCCCCCCCCCCCCCCCCCCCCCCCCCCCCCCCCAAATTCCCAGAAATGTAATTTTCTTTCTGCCTGTGTGATTGGCTCACTGAGTCTGCATTAGGACACAAGTCAGATTTCTGGCATCCCCTGCAACAAAAATGCAATTTTTGGTGAGATACTCCCAAAGGGAAATCACATCTAAAAAGGGATGCAGACCCTGCCACTTTCCTTAGAGCTCTGCAGGTGCAGCAGCTGATTGAGAATTGTAAAACCACACCCATACAGATTCACTCTGCACATTGAAAGAGACAAACAGCTATTTCTTCTGAATAACAAAAAGGTAGGAATCGGCAAACGTTTGTTAAAACCCTTGCACTGTACATTAATGCACCAAAGGGGAATTTTTTTTCCCTCAACAAAAGTGTAAGTTACTCTTTAAGGTAGACCTTCCAATACAAAAAAAAAAAAAAAAAAAAAAGCCCATTTAGTCCACAAAAGTCTGGTATGTTGTCAGCCCACAATAGGATTATTGTAGCATTTCTGTCAGATAATCAGGTATTTTTCTATGCTTAGGGGGTATTACACACAAGGTATCGAGAATGTACTGCATATGCTTTTTTTTCCCCAACTTGCCCTGACATTTACAGTATCAGCAGTGTAGGGGACATCATTTTCTCTGACCTGAATAAGTTAAGCATGGGTTCTCGGATGGGGTCTGTGATGGGGGCATCAAGTTTGGAAACCACTGCACTGACCAATCAAAGGAAGGAGGTGCATATTCTATACTACTGCAAAATAGCAACACCTGGTTAAGACTCCCATCAGACAGACTAAACAATAAAATGAGACAGACATGATACTTACCCTGACCTTTGGAGCTGCAGCTCTAAATTTCACATAAAATAAAGTGAAAGCATTGTCAGAATTTGGAGTATTTGATAAATCCTGCTAAAAAGAAAAAAAGTAAAAATTTTAGTTTAATTAATGTTTCTGCATAAACTATACATGGTTACAAACTAAGAAAGCTATAAAATAGGTACCATTTATAATAAATTCTAAATACAGGCATTGTATGTCAATTTTGAATTTAATTTATTAAACCTTTATTGAAATCACAATTCTGGCATTTCTCTCCTACATATAAAAATCGGCTTTTTTTTTTTCTAGAAAAAATTACTCAGAACCCCCAACATTATATAGTTTATTTTTTTAGCAGAGATCCTAGAGAATAAAATGGCGATCATTGCAATTTTATACATTACACGGTATTTGCGCAGCAATTTTTCAAAGGCAATTTTTTCAAACAAAATACAATATACAACCCAATTTTTTGGCAAAATATAAAAGATGATGATACGCTGAGTAATTCAATACCGAACATCTCACGCTTTACACTTCAAACACTGGTGGAATGGCGCCACACTAAGCTACTTAAATATCTCCACAGGAGACACTTTAAATATATTTACAGGTTACCCATTTAGAACTATAGAGGAGGTCTAGTGATACCTCGAACGCCGTTTACATATGTGGGCACAACCTATGTATGAGTTCGCTTCTGCGTGAGAGCACAAGAGAGCGGGGGCGCTTGGAGACAAAATTTTTTTTTTTAATTTTATTTTTACACTGTCCCTTTAATGTTTTTGATCACTTTTATTCCTATGACAAGAAATGTATACATCCCCTGTAATAGGAATAAGGCATGACAAGTCCTCTTTATGGAGAGATCTGGGGTCTCAGGCTTTCCAGGCGGTCCCATTGCCTGTAAAATCAAACCAGCAGCTAATCAACTGCTAGGATGGCTTTTACAACACAGGGAATTGCCGGCTGAAAACAAAGATATCTGGATAATGCCTGTAGCTGCAGGCATCATCCAGATATCTCCACTCAAAGTCCATATGATGTCATGCAGGCGGCAAGTGGATAAACTTGTTCAAAAAGGAATACGGAAAAAAGACCCCCAAAAACCCATAATAAATACAAATTTGGTCCCACTGTGTGTACCAAGTACTACCATATATGTTTATAAAAGGTACAGCCACATATGGAATAAAGACAACTTGCTCTCTACAGAGCTATTCCAATGGTTTTGAGAACATTATTACTATTAATGGGTAATTCTCAGTAAAACCAATAATTTAGTTGTGGGTCTAAATTACCAACTAGATTCTTATTTCTTGTGTGTTTTGTAATGAGATCTTCTGGCTCTTCGAAATCCACCAACACTATTCTCAAGTGCTGTGATGTAGCAATGAAAGATAAGTTCACCTTATGGACAAAAATAATAAATGCCAATTTTTTTGCAGGTAAAAAAAATTTGCATTTTTTATTTTTGTCCAAAGGAGCCTGGAAACTATTGCACCAGCAATCAGTAGATCAATGATGCCATGCAAGTCTCCTGCAGACCTGCCAATTACATTTTTATTTTTGTCAGAATATCTGCTTGTTGTACAGGATGTACGAGCAAGCAAATATTCTGACAGGAAGCTTCTCAATAAACTACCACTGCACTCCACAGCGCTGTGGTAGTTCATTGAAAACTACAAGCCCACAGCCGTTGAGGCTGTTGGGACTTGCAGTTCATTCATTCACGGAACTCCTTGAATGAATGATGTGGCTGTGTAGGTGGAGCCCCGTATGGCAGCTCTTTTCCAATCTGACAGTCCAATCTGACAGATCGCACAGGGGAAACTTCTACCCATACTATCTATCTGTCAGAGGGGGGGGGGGGGGGGGGGGCGGCGGATGTGGCTGCGGCTATAGCAACATGTTCCACCCTAAAAACAGGTGGAACATGTAACATGTTCCAAAAGTGAACTTATCCTTTAAGGCAGGCAGACATGGATCAAAATTCAGTTGGTTCAGCAGGGTCCAGATAATTTTGATCCATGTAAGGGCAGAAGCATATGGCTGTTTCTGCTGCCTGTGTCTCTTGTGAGACCATAAGTGAAGGAAGACGTGCAGCCAGGACAGCACTGGATTGCCCACAGATCTCAGGTAGGTGTTTGGGAGGATGGTGGGAACAGTTAGTGGGGAGCTTTTTTGTTTTTTTAACCCTAATGCAGGGAATACATTACAATAAAAAAACTGATCGACTTTAGAAGCATTTTAGTACAATAATGTGAACCTATCCTTGCCATTACTATTCAAAACCAAAGCACTTTACATTTGCAACCACATGAAGTCTAAAGAGGACCACACTCTGCAACATACCCGTTTAATCAACAGATTTGTGAGGTTCTGTAGTGTATTCACAGTGTAGGTCTTCATAAGATGCATAGCTTTAGAGAGACATTGCTTAAACTTTGCTAAATAAACTGGATAATCTTTAAAATTAGGCTGCAAAGTAAAAGAAAAAAACAGGAAGAACAAATTATTAAAAACTCATCAGCAAAAAAAAAAAAAAACATGCTTTTTTTTCTAACAATAATATATGCATAGATGAACATTGCTTTTGTGGTTTGTAAAGTAATATGTACCTCCGTTAGACTTCTACCCATACAGTAGATTTATATTACTGATGCAGATGTCTACCATGTATATTATTTTAATCTGTACTGTTTTTAGATTGTTTTCTTGTGATCTACTGTATATGCTTTGATAATACAATATTTGTTTACAACCAACAGATGTGCAGATAATATTCTCTGGAAGTGTACAGTATATGATACATTGATACCTATAGCCAGAGCTTTACAAATCGCAGAGATCTAGTAACCAGTTTAAAAAAAGTCAGAAAACTATACACAATTTACCATGGCAATCATTATTTCCCAATATTATTTTACCAACATGTGCATGTACGGGTAAATAAACTTGTATTGCAGAACATCATGGAGCACATAAACTGTGGAAAAAAGAAAAAAAAAAAAAATGGAAGAGCTGTAACCCCGAGATTTTTGACACTATTGTTTAACCCCTTCACACCTCTCCACAGTCCATGAGTTTTCATGTCAGGCGACAGAGAAGCTTCCTGTTCATGTGACCTCTGATTGGCTATCACATGATCAGGACTCCGCCCTGCTGCTTGCTACCCCACTGCACTGTCCTGGGAGTGCACAGTGAGCTCTCTCTCAGCACACAAGCTCAGACCACAATAGGCGCATATATGCGGTGGCTGGGCATTCATGGTCACTCTACCTGCTAAATGCATTACAAGGTCAAGAGTAAATTAAAATACCACGGTAATGCAAGTGAAAACCTCAAGACCACTTTGTAACCCATATCCCAGGAGAATATTTTTCTTTACTTCTATATTTATTATTTTTACAGTTGGAAATGTGTACACAGAAGCATGTCGCATGACAGCCTGAAATATCAATTTATTGTTTTGGGGAATGTTTAGTGATTGAGAAAATCCAGTTTTTACTAAGCACGATCTAACGGTGGCCAAGGGAACTACAGTATATGAAATGCTCAAATACCTGGTCGCCTGAGAGCATTTTTTTTCCAAATCGCCATGGCACCAGGTGACCAGGATTTGTCCAGACCTATGATAAATGGTTTAATAGAGAATGCAAGGCCTTATCAAAGTCCTCAAACCATAAACAGAGACCATGACAAAAAGAAGAAAAAGCCCATGAGGTCATACAGAAGCAAAACTAGAGAGACCCTGACAACACAGAAGACCTATGAAATCATAGAGAAGTAATATTACACAGAGACCCATACGACACAGAGGATGGCCCATGAGGTTATAAAGAAACAGCACACAGAGAGCCTGATAACATGGAAGGTGGACCATGAGACCATGATAGCCTACAGATGCAGTACAATAGAGACTCAGACAAGATAAAATGGCCCACACACAGAAGCAACGCTAAAGCATCATCAGACAGAAAATAACTAAATTGGACCTCCAACATCTGGGGGAAAAAAAAAATGACCAGGTCTTTAATTTCCAAGTCTTAGACTGCATTGATCACTTTGTAGAGCTATACCTGACAGATAAATAAAAAAAGTCAAGGTTGACCTGTCAAGACTTATGTTTCAAATCATGAACACAATAGACAGTGACACACTGTGAACACTATGAGAAACCTATTAGCTTTGCTACATCCTAAAAACTGGAAAAAGTCATGACATTCTCAATGAAATCCTTGTCAGAACAATGTTGTTTGTATGACAAAAGACCTAAATATTCATCTATAAGCTATCAAGATCTTTGGGGAAAATGTAGAAAGATGCAGGTCTTTCCCAAACAGTCATATAGCACGGTCTATTAAATGGCTGTTTTTGAGATTATTAGTAAACCTGCAAAGCTGTGGCCTCAAAATTTTAATGTCTGCAGTGGTGTGCATCAAGTACTGACTGCCACATGTCCTGGAGAGAAGAAGTGTTTGGATATGCCCTCAGCCAACTGTTGACAACAGTGCAGATAGCACCTCTGAATATGGATTCAGATCACAGAAATTATCAAGGACATTTATACACAAGTAAAAGGAGAAGCCAGCTGAAAGGTGTGCTTGGGAAAAGATTTACTAAAAAAAGGAGACAATAGAGAGCAAGGATGCTTTCCTTAAAACAGATTTATTTTTTGAGAGAGAGGATTCTCTACTCACATTGGTTTCTAAATGAATTCCATGTGCTTTTGATGGGCTTGATCAGAGGGTTGGACAACAAAGTGGCATTCACTGAAGACACAGCCAAAAGCAGCCCAAGTGCCCGTTCACATATATGCGGATTGGATGCGGCTTGAACCACATCCAATCCACATGACATGTTAAACACCATTGCTTCCTATGGTGCCTGTTCACATATGTCCGCTGCTTGGTGCAGACTCAGTGCGGTTTAAAAAACAGTCATGTCCGATTTCTGAGCAGTGGGTTCAGGTGCGGGTTACAGGCTATTGACTTCTATGGGAACCGTTCCTAAATCGCATATATGAGAACAGGATAAGATCCTGAGCTAATCCTGTCCTGAACCTGATGTAAACCTGAAGTGAACCTGTGAACAGCTGCTGTATCACTTCACTGTGAAACCTGAACTTCAATCCGCACCACACATGTGTGAAACAGCTCTAAAACAGTTCTTGGGGAAAAATGGAAGATTTTGGTAATGCCATTTCCAACTGAATCCTAAAAGTCTGTGAAGATACTCAATAAGAAGAAAAGAAGGGAGAGCATATCACCCAAAAGCCATATATAAAAAAGGAACTCTGCAATGCTATCCACTTTTCACTCAGATTACACCATCTGAAATGGACAATGTAGTCCTCAAAAAGAAGAGAAAACACAAGGAGACATAATCCAAGAGCACTCCATAAACTCTCATTGCAGTATTATAATAAGTTTAATATTAAAACTTAGGAGTCAGGTGTTGATTCTTTATACATGTTAATGCTCTACATTAGGATCCTGTCCCTTGTAGCTACACTGACTTCTCTAACTTTATATATGGAGGTTGCCATGGTTTTCACACAGGCTGGATATCAAGTATATAAAGTGTGTTCAGCCTCTCTACATGGTGGTTGATGGGACTTGGAGTCTACAAAAGATAGATAAAATTGTTCTTGTTTCGCAGAAGTGACAGGGACACTGCATTTATCTTGAAAATGTTCTTATGCAGGCCATAGATGGGTCGTTTATTGACAGAATTTTTCGACCGCACGACAAAAATCGGCCGATATTCACGCCGTTAGTGGGGCCAGCTCGTCGGCCGTATTTCGTGGATCTTCTCATTTATTTTTATCGGTCATGCTGGAAAATCATTTCGTGGACATTGGTGGCAGCATCGGCAACGGGGCCGACCGATTTTTCCGATAAACCGAATTGTCGGCCGATAAACGGCCCGTCTATGGCCTGCATTAGCCTTAAAAATCAAAACCAATGCAGCCACCACGTTTAAAGACTGGTAAAACTGCAAGATATCACATTTTGTTTTCAGGTTTAGATATTCTTTACCAGATAGGTAGCAAAAAAGAAGTTCATTGTTAAGTGTATATGAATCCTAATAACAGGCTCCAAAATAGGAAATACCTTAGCAAAAGGACTGCTCTTCCCTGGAAAACGTGTTAAAAAAAACAAAAAACAAAAAAAAAAAAAAACCACATTCATACAACCAAAAAACAAAAAAAAAAAAAAAAACCACATTCATACAACCACCAAAGAAGAAATATGGCTCATTAATAGACCATAGTTCACATAACTAAAAAGGTATAAAGTGTTGTCAAAAGATCAGCTTAAATAAACTAAAACTGCAGTAAATGAGGGTACAAACTTGTGTGGAAGATTCCACCCCTACTCAGGGATGGTCATTCCAGGTTTACATAAATGGGGGGGGGGGGGTTTTACACCTCTTGCAAACTACTTGTCCTCACACCTCACAAGAAAGTCTCTTTTTTCTTAAGGTGTGACTGTTGAGTCTTGACTTGCTGAATTGTCACCATGTCAGATAGGGCTCCGCTAGTACACATTATACAGACGTGGTCCAATAAAGCCATGATGGAGGAAACCTGACCTGAGAGATACCATTCAGCACTTGCTGGTGCACTGAGATGCAACAAAGGATGAAAAACAAAACAAAAAAACCCACACTTTTTTTGCCTTTTTATGTCAATTTTTGACACAGTTAGCAAACAAAAAGGGGTATATTTTTAAAAAAGAGAATGTGCCATTCATCAAACATTTACTGCAGGTATAGGTTTATAAACGCATGTGTTTTAAATGAAAATTATTGATTTGCCTATTTAATCTTAAAAAGGATAAGTTCACCATTGGAACACGTTATATGTTCCACTAGCTTTTAAGGTGAAACATGTAACATGTGCCCATAGCTGCAGCCGCACCCGCACCCACTGCCCCCCCTCCCTCTGACAGATAGTACGGGAAACTTCTCCCTGTACTAATCTGTCAAATTTGAAAACAGTGCTGCCATGCAGGGCTCCGCCCACACAGCCGCATCATTCATTCATTGACTTCCGTGAATAAATGAACTGCAAGTCCCCACAGCCTTAGCAGCTGTGGGCTTATAGTTTTTAATGAACTACCACAGTGCTGTGGATTGCCATGGTAGCAGTATATCTGCTTGACCATACATCCCGTACGGCAAACAGATATTCTGACAGGTCTGCAGGAGACATGCATGGCACCAGTGATCTACTGATCTCTGGTGCAATGCTTTCCAGGCTCCTTTGGACAAAAATAATAAATGCACATTTTTTTTACCTGCAAAAAAAAAGTGCATTTATTATTTTTGTCCAAAAAGTGAACTTATCCTTTAACAGTCTCCCGCCCGCCATAAAGTAATATGACAGACACAAGGTGGTTCTCTCGTTCTGGAAGGACGTCATATGATGTCTTCCCATTCTAACCGCGCATGCACGGCGATCGGCGGTGTGC